ATTATTATTATTTAAAAATAAAGCTTAGCAGAGAAAGAAAGGTAGAACTTCCTTTTGTAGCAGGAATTGAGGTGTTAATGAGTCCATTTTGAGCCTTAAACGTTGCTTTGCATTCATTTTAGGAAAAGTATTTGTGTAAGATGGGCATCGTGAAGGTATCTCCCATTCAGCTGTATTTTAAGCTTTGCAAAGCGAGACACGTTAGGTGGTTCTACCATGAGGACACCCGTACCTCAAAGAGCTGATTTAGGGGGTACCTGGGGCACCCACAGCGTGCTGTGAGTTTTGCATTCTGGGTATAGACACATTTAAAAATATCCCTGGGCTTTGGGTGACTCCTGTTCAGTATTGAACTCCAGGCAGGACACCAAATTTGTATGTGCTATACATTGGATGATGTTCGTGGTTTGCACTTCATTTCTTTCATGTCAGTGTTTTGTTTTAAGATGCATTTGAACCCACACAGACACTAGTTGGTAGAAATAATTTTCTGCCAAAATTGTTTATGTTTGTAATTCGGTTAAATAACAGAACTGTTACCAGCAATGAAAGCTATTAATAAATCTAATTAGCACAGTAGACTGTAAAGCTAATGATGACAATATTTTTTAAGACAAATTGCGTACACTCTACCTAGAATTTAACTTCAAATATGTGCTGAATCAGGAAATATTTTCAACCTTTCCCTGAGTATGAGCCTTTCGCGTGTATGCTCTAATAATTAAACAGGGAAAACATTACATTTACATTGCACGTGTGGAATTTAATGGCACAAAGGAGACTGCATAGACCACATTGAGCAATAGTTGTTAATTCATCTACCTTGACTTTAAAATAAGCAGCAAGTGCTTTCCGTTTTATGGAAGCAGCATAGCTGGATGCTTCATGGCACAAAGCTGGAGGCATTCTGGGGAGAAACCCTAGAAAAGCTGGGCATCTTGCGGGTGTCTTCTGCAGGGCAGACCCTGAGCCGGGAGAGCCCCGATGTCACAAGGGCGTTCCTGGTCCCGCATGGGCCAGTGAGGATTGCCCAGGCATTGCGTTTGGCTTTGCTTGGGTGTGGGTATTAGACGCTCCAATGCTTATTTTTCCCTTCCCCGGCACATCACCCTTTCTCCACCCCCAGATCACAGCTATGGAATTTGTGCTTTCTAATGTATGCGCATGCAGTAAATTAAACTCAAATTGAATGACCAATTGAAGGAAATTGATTACTGTGTGTAAATCACATTAGCTGAGATTAGGTTATAATGGCTGTAAAATAGACGCTGCCCATGATAGGGGAGCAAGATTTGGAGGCCAGGTCGCTTGAAATGAAGAGGTGAAATGTGATAGTTCTTGTTTCATTTTGCACCCAGCTGTTGGTTTGCCCACATCACCCAGCTGTGCAGGTCCCACCAAATCAGTTCAGATGCAGGAGAGCCTGTTGCTCTCTTGGTCCCATGTACAAGGCACGAGTGGCAGCTCCCCATCGTGAGACAATTTGAGCAACCTCATGTACGTCATGAGCTTCTCTTAAACATCACATAGCAGAAGGGACCGCTGTGTACACGTACTAAAGTTATGAGGATTTACTCTTTGCAGTTAACTTCCTCACATAAGGTTTTATCTTGGTTGTATCTTTTTATGGTTCCCACCTGATGTAGATTTGTTAGGTGTATTTGATCCCTTTTTTATTCTTTGTCATTGCAATCAGGGCTGAATAGTTCATTCATATGATGAAAAGCTGCCTTATTATGTTTTACATTCAAATTTGCATTTAATATACAGTATGTATGCTAAAAGTTACTGGTGATTTAAAATACAGACTTCTATACACAGGCTCTTCATTTCTTGGCAAAACCGGCCTTAAAAATGTCTAGCCCATCTCTCGGCAAGCTTGCAAGACTTGGTGGCAATCAGGCAGGGCAGCTGGGCCGGATCTCACAGTGGGGTGCAAGTGGCCCATGTCACCTGCCTGTTCCCCACCCTGTCCCCACCAGAGACCCTCTGCCCCTGGATCCCAGTGTGTGGGGGGTCGGGCTGTTCTGGACAAGTGAAGAAAACTTCTCCCACTGGCGTTTTTACCTGGTAGCCATGGAAAGCAGGATGATGACCTCCTCACCTGAAGAACTGTCTCTTTTGGAAAGGGGGTATTGGTGGGGGATGGCTGGGTGCTGCTGCTCCTTGCGCGATGACGTTGTCCCGCCTGCGGTGACACCAGAGCTGGCTCTGCTGTGCACATCACAACAGACGTTGCTATGTGACAGCAGCTGAATGTTAATGGCAAGAGAGGGATGGGTGGCAAGGCCAAGGAGTCCATCTTCATTACGAGCTCAACAGAAGCAAGGGGCTTAAAAAAGAAATATTCGAGATGAAAGCAACTTAGTTTGTCCAGTCCATTCCCTTCTTGCAGCATCAATGCCAAAGCCAGCCCTACCTGGTGTGTCTCTAGCCTTTTCTTCCAAAATGCTGTTGATGGAGGTGCCTGGAGTGGTGATGCCTGCGAGATGTCGCTGGGGCATCAGTGCTCGCTGCCTGACCAGCCCTGCCCAGCGCAGCATTGTCCATGCTCCCCGCTAAAAGCCAATTAAAACAAAAAATAGAGCAATACTTTTCAAACCCCAGCATTTCTTAAAAGGGAAGCATGGCCCTCCTGGTCAAATGTGAACTGTGGAGACTCACAGGAGTGACAGCAATTAATCACCATGCTGCTTTGAATCTTTGTGCAAGTGCATGGTGTTAAATATGACAACGGCACCAATGCGAAGGCAGACACCAGCCTTTGTAATCCAGGTCTCTGTAGATGTGAGGTTGTAGGCTAGGCAATAGCAAAATAATTCAACTTGTTAGACACAGGCAAAGCTTTTTGGTAGACACATCATGCCAGTCTCAAAAACGATGGAAGTGTCAAAACAGCAGAGGAGAAAAA